GACCCTTGGTCTCTTTTTCCCTTTCCGTCCTATCCTTGCTTGATATCCACTTCCCTCTGGCATAGACACCAACGTCTACCTTTTCTATTACCCTCCTATGGTTGTCTTCCATCGTCCTTGCTTCACAACCACCCAGCAAACCTAACCCCGCTATTCTTTCACTTAGAGAAGCAAGTGAACTGGCAAACATTAAACCAACGGCAATTTATTCCATTCAGAGGTATAAAGGAAACAGAAAATCATTTAAGTTTTAATAAAGGTGCAATGAAGATGCCCGGTATTCATGAGTTCCTCCATGTATTCATTTGTGCTACATTTGACTCACCAGAATGCTGACTCTCGAAGACCCATCATCACCATCAAACCCTTCATCCTTTTTCTCTCTCTTGTGACATTAACGGATGCATAGTAAGTGAATGGGGAAAAGGAAATAATGCAGAAGAAAATGAGCATATCCGTTATGACTCCTGCTTGAGCAATGAAGGGATGTATCTTCATACATCTTCCAGTAACTGACATCAATTCCTCCATCACTGAGTGATTTGTTGTGACCTGAAGAAATATTAATAAACAAAATTTGTATATTAGTAAATGGTATGCCTGGTCTATTGGGATCTGATGCTAGCCTAAATTTCCACTTCTGTCTCCTGTCATTGGCCCACGTGGAGCTCGGAGTCCAGGCATTCTGAGATACGTACAGTTCTCAGAATTTACTATGTGTTATGTCACCTCCCTGCCTAAATCCCTCACCTCAAGCTTCACATTTAAATGTTATTTAATTAGAAATTCTTCCACGGCATTCTAGACAGAGAAGGTTTTGCTCATTTACTGAAAGGACTTTATTTATCCCTCCATGTTAGCCTATTTCTGTTCTAATAATTTTTTTGTTATGTGCCTGACTTCCTGACAAGGTTGAGTCCGTGGATAGATTTTTCTTCTGTTTGTGTCTATATCCCAATGACATATGGCAACTTTAGTAAGCTTTGCTGAAAAGATAAGGATGAGTAAATGAAAGAACAGGGCTATCCACTTATATTTTCTTCCATGAAACTTTCAATTCCTCCAATGTTAATTTTCATTAAATATTAATTTGCATTGAACATTTCATACTCACTTCTATAATGGCGGCATTAATGGCAGCTTGAAGAGCCACAAAACCTTTCTCCCAGAATAATGAAACTTCACAGTTAACATCTTCATTCATTTCATAACAATGACCTTTGTGAAGAAAAGAAACCGTACTGTCATCAGGGTTTTTTTAGTCTTAATTATAGGAAACAGTGGACTTTACAATGACCCCAAATTC